CTCCAACTCCTGGACTCAAGCGAGTCTCCTGCCTCTGCCTCCCAAGTAGCTGGGACCACAGACGCCTGCCACAATGCCTGACTATTTTTTGGTTGCAGCCAGCATTGTTGTTTGGTGGGCCTAGGCTGGATTCAAACCCACCACCTTAGATGTATGTGGCTGGTACCTTAGCCACTTGAGCCACGGGTGCCAGGTATATTTTATTTTTTTGTGAGACTGAGTCTCAAGCTGTCACCCTGGGTAGAGGGCTGTGATATCACTGCTCACAGCAACTTCAAACTTGGGCTTAAGCGATCCTCTTGCCTCAGCCTCCCAAGCAGCTGGGACTACAGGCACCAGCCATAACATCTGGCTATTTTTTGGTTTTAGTTGTCATTGTTGTTTGGTTGGCCCAGTCTGGATTTGAACCCGCCAGCTCTGGTGTATGTGGCTGGCACCTTAGCTGCTTAGCTATAGGTGCCAAGCCTCTTTTTTTTTTAGAGACAAGAGTCTCACTTTATCACCCTTGGTAGAGTGCCGTAGCATCACAGTTTACAACAACTTCCAACTCCTAGGCTTAGGTGATTCTCTTGCCTCAACCTCCTGAGTAACTGGGACTACAGGTGTCTACCACAACACCTGGCTATTTTTTTTTTTTGCAGTTTTTGACCGGGGTTGAGTTTGAACCCACCACCTCTGGTATATGGGGCTGGCAACCTATTCCTCTGAGCCACAGGTGCCGCCCAGTGCCCAGCTATTTTTTGTTGCAGTTTGGCTGGGGCCAGGTTCAAACCCACCACCCTGGGTATATGGGGCTGGCAACCTACCCACTGAGCCACAGGCACCACCCATGAGGCAGTCTTAATATTACTATTTTTGAAAACATGGTAAGCCTCAGCGTGCCAATGTAGTTATTATTGAGATTATAACAAAATTAGTTTAAAAGGAAAATTGCATATGAAATTTCATTTTAGCCTCAAAATAGCATATTCAATAAAGACTTTTCACTAACTAATCTCAAAGGAGTATTCTGTTGCCATCTAGAAGCTATTCTTTTGGATTGCTGACAGTTGTTACATTTGACTTGTGGTTGTTCTAATGTAATCTTTTGTTTAAATTATTATTACCAAGCTGGGCCTGAGATTGGCTCTCCCTTCCTCTTTAATTTACCCCCCCCACCTGTGGATCAGTCACATGGGAATTTGATAATATCTCATCTGATGCTTTGCTAAGATGCAGAATGTGTATTTGTGAAATGTGTTTCTACAGTATTTATGGTGGGTCTTTTACTGTTTCTGCTTATGCCTAATGGAATGCATTTGTGCAACAGAATGATAGCTATGTGGAAGCAAATGATCTTTTTTTGTTTTTGTTTTTTGAGACAGAGTCTCAGTCTGTTGCTCAGGCTAGAGTGACATGGCCTCAGCCTAGCTCACAAATACCTCAAGTTTAGGGGTTCAAGTCATCCTCTTGCCTCAGCCTCCCTAGTAATTGGGAGAATAGATACCTGCCCCAACATCTGGCTCATTTTTCTTTCTTTCTTTTCTTTCTTTTCTTGAGATAGAGCCTCAAGCTGTCCCCCTGGGTAGAGTGCTGTGGCAGGCATCAAAGCTCACAGCAACCTCCAACTCCTGGGCTCAAGTGAGTCTCCTGCCTCAGCCTCCCAAGTAGCTGGGACCACAGGCGCCCACCACAATGCCCGGCTATTTTTTGGTTGCAGCCAGGCCTGGGCTGGATTCAAACCACCACCTTAGGTGTATGTGGCTGGCGCCTTAGCCACTTGAGCCACAGGCGCCGAGCCTGGCTCATTTTTCTATTTTTAATAGAGATGAGATCTCACTCTTGCTCATGCTGGTCTCCAATCCCTGAGCTCAAGGAGTCCTACCTCCAGCCTCCCAGAGTGCTAGGATTATAGGTCTAGCTACGGTGCCTACGGCTGCAGGTGTCTACTGCTGCAAACAATCCTCTATACAGATTTTTCCACCCCAGATTGAGAAGGAGAGGGTAGTTTCTCAGAGTGGTTCGGCAATGCTGTGTCCCTTTTTAAACATCCCTGTTTATGCAGTGGCAGTGCTTGTACTTTTTATTCCTAGTTGATCTGTAAAGTTTACTTTGTTATAGATATGGTGTCTTTTTCCCTATTTCTATTTTTTTAAAATTGGTAAGTGGAAATTGATGTAATAGGTGACAAGTTAGAACTTTTTTATCCCTTAGAAGTAATCTACTCCTAGTGTTAGGAAAACCTCACGGGGATTAAGGTTTGTATTACTCCTGTGTTTAAAAAAGCTATACTTCTAGGGCGGTGCCTGTGGCTCAAAGAAGTAGGGTGCTGGCCCCACATGCTGGAGGTGGCAGGTTGAAACCCAGCCCCGGCCAAAAACTGCAAAAAAAAAAAAAAAAGCTGTACGTCTAATTATGGAGAGAGTCTAAGCAAAATTCAGGTAAGAGTGAGATAAAGGTACTTTAAAAAGAACTGCACTTTAATGCTTTTAGGTTATTTATTGTTTGTTCCTACTGTTAGTGAGAAAATTAGTAGGTTAATGTATACTCAAAAGATTTTGTATTTTTCACCCAAATTTTATAGGATAGAATTTATTAGATGAAAAATTCAAACAAGAAACATTTTTTTTGGCGGTGCCTGTGGCTCAGTGGGTGGGGCCCTGGCCCCATATACCAAGGGTGGTGGGTTTGAACGTGGCCCTGGCTAAACTGCAACAAAAAATAGCTGGGCTTTGTGGCAGGTGCCTGTAGTCTCAGGAGTTGGAGGTTGTTGCGGGCTGTGATACCACTGCAGTCTATCAGGGGTGATAAAGTGAGACTCTGTGTCTCAAAAAAAAAAAAAAAAAATTTTTTTTTTTTTTTTTTTACCAGGGTTAAACTCATCTTAGCTAGTTTCATGATTTCAGTTATAATTACATACAATATGAAAATGTTGTAATTGGTTTTTGAACTTTATTTCTAGATCATAGCAATGGATCATTTAACTTGAAAGCTCTATCAGGAAGCTCTGGATATAAGTTTGGTGTTCTTGCTAAGATTGTGAATTACATGAAGGTAAGTACTTTTCTTAAATAACAAAAGTTCTATTTAACTTAGTGGGGAAAGGGATTGAGATTTTCAGAAGCTAAATTTGTATACTCATGTCAGAATTTATCAGTTTGTACATATTCAGCATGTTTAGCTTATTGTATGCCATTTATACTTCAAGCTTTTTTTTTTTTTTCCTTTGGAGACAGAGTCTCACTATGTCACCCTTGGTAGAGTGCCATGGTTTCACAGCTCATAGCAGCCTCAAACTCTGGGGCTTCAGTGATTCTCTTGCTTCAGTCTCCCAAGTAGCTGGGACTATAGGTGCCTGCCACAATGCTCGGCTATTTTTTGTTGTTGTTGGCAGTTGTCGTTGTTTTAGCTGGCTGGGCCATGTTCAAACCTGCCACCCTCGGTGCATGTGGCTGGCGCCATAACCACTGTGCTACAGGTGCCAAGCCATATACATTAAGCCTTTTAATGTTAAATTGGCATTGCAGCAAGTTATCTGGATTGGTTGGGACAGACAGGGTTTTGCTCTTTTGCCCAGGCTAGAGAGCAGTGGGGTTATCACAACTTACAGCTTGCTGCATCCTCAAACTTGTGGGTTCAAGTGATACTCTTCCATCAGCCTCCTGAGTAGCTGGCACTAATTTTGTACCACCACACCAGATAATTTTTCTTCTTTTTGTAGAGACAAGATCTCTCTCTTGCTTAGGCTGGTCTGAACTGGCCTCAAACAGTGCTCCTTTCCTGGCCTTGTGGAGTGCTAGGATTACAGGAGTAGTCCCCATGCCTGGCACTAAATATATTTAATTGACATTAATTCAAGTATACAATTTTTTTTTTTTTT